TGTATTGATAAAAACACGTTATATATTTTCACTAATGTTTTAAAGGTATGTAAAAAGGAAAATAAAGGCTTCACAAACTACTAGTATTCGAACTCTCTCCAAAGCTCATGATAGGCGTGAGACTGAATGCGTTAACCACTATACGCTACGGTGTCTTCTTGTTGGTTGTGTGTCAGTTTGCTTTTTAAAAAATGAATTGTTGAGACAAAAAACATTTTTCCACCTATTTTTTAATTTAGTATGGTTCGTTTTTTTTTGGCTTGCTTCTTTCACCCAACTGTTAGACCTTTGTTTTTATACTAAATTTGTTCACGAAATGCTCCCTTGATCAATACATAGAGCTCACCGATCAACAAGGAATGCTTACTCCTCCTAGGCACCTGTTCCCATTTCTGGTATTGCGGGGGGGGGGGTCCGTAATTTATGCCCTGCTCACATATTTGTATTTGTAAATTTTTCGACATAAATCAATGCTCATTATCCTCACTTTTTTAACATTCCAGAAATATTCGACTTTTAAATAGAATGGGTCCAGACTCCATTTAGAAAAAAAAAAACACAGTGGGTTTACTTTTCCGTAAATAAGCACAAAACTTAGGAGGGGGGGGGGTAGGGGCCAACTTTTTCGAAGCCAACTTACCATCACTTCCAATTTTTTCCCTACAATCCTTGATATCACTATACTATAGTAAAAAGTGGGGGGCCAACCGTCCTTGCAATGAACGTTTACTATAGTAAAGGTAATGTTGGGGAAAAAAAGTGTGGGGGGCTGCCCCCCCCCCCCCCCCGGATGCTACGTCCCTGCACCAATCAAGCCGACCCCTTCCCCAACCATAAAGTAGGGCTTTTGTGTCGGGATCCTTAAATGTTATGGACAACAATGTAATCCCCTCCCCTTCCCAAAGAAATTTATGCTTGAATCATCCTTTATTCCGAAATTTAAAACAAATGGAACTAAACATATTGATTAACGAAATAAAAACGACATTAGAGTTGTTTCCATTAGAAAATAAAAATACTTTCACGAAAGGCCACACTACTTTTTCTATAATTTATACAAATACATATTTATTACACTCACTGACTGAGCATAAAACGCTCAAGGTGAGCATATGACACATGTACCTCCTATGGACTGGGCCAAATTTGAAATGTTAGGGGAGTCTGGGGAAGAAAATATTGTACAAGACTGTTGTAAACACAACGTAACGTCAATAAATTATTTCACTAATTGCACTAGGCCTAATTGCTATATGTATACTCGAGAAAAGTATAGCTGTCATGACAACAAAGATAGCCTTCTGGATATTTTCTACGCAAACCAAAAATAGCTCCGGAAAAGTTGGGTAGGTGCTTATTTGATGTGATTGTCAAGATATAACGAAGACCTTGTGGTCAAAATTGATAGCTAACGTTGGATTAGGATTTATATTAAACAAAACAATAAATGTTTTATTGAAGTAATGTCAAGAGTCCATTCAAGTGGCTAATTAGTCGAAAAATGACCATCAGATGCGTGAAAAACGCGTGCTACCGATGTTTAAGGAAGGGTGGGTAACACAAAAACCTAATAATCTTTAAATATACCAAGAAGACGTCTCATATTGGTTGAAGTAGTTTTATTAGTAGTAAAAAACCGTACATAAAAGACATTTTTTGTCTAAATGTGCAGACAGAAACTTCGAATGATCCAAACAAATATAGCTAGTGATCCAAATCAAGTAGATTTTCGATTAGCACTTTGTATACAGTGAAAACCCGTTTCACCAGAATTTTCTTCTGCTCAATACAACAAACATGATGTTGCTAAATTACTAGGGAAAGTAATTAAATCACATAGAAAGGAAGAACTAAGAAGAGTAAAGCCAATGGAAATTCTTCCTATTGCTACATCAATGAAATCTACAAGTGAACAGACAAAACAAAATAAACACGTGAAATCTGACAAGAAACAAACAATGTCTCTATCTGCCTCTGTCACCAAGGTCAGGGAGTTCAATTTACCAGGTGTTTATGGTGTATACCATGTATCACTAGATCAACCAGACAGACTCTGGATCAGTGACAGTAATGGCAATCTTGTCCAAACAGATCTACAGGGGAATGTGATACAGAAGATAAAAACCAGTGGTGGACATGGTTACCACACAGTCACACAGGACAGGGATCTGATCGGTACACACAAAGACAAGAAAGTAATCAATAGGATAACACCGGATAATAAAATCACTGAATTCATTAAAACTGGAGACTGGAGACCACTCAGCATACACTCCTCCCACATCAACGGGGACTTACTGGTGGGGATGTCTGGTCAAGTCACCAGGTACAACAAGACAGGAAAAGTACTACAGAACATACAGAGGGATAAGAAAGGGCAGAAACTGTATAGACTACCAATCTACTTAACAGAAAACATCAATGGAGATATCTGTACATCAGACTATGATAATGCAGTAGTGGTGGTGAATAAATCAGGACAACACAGGTTCTCCTACACAGGTCAGAAGTCAGAGTTCGATCCCTATGGAATCTGTACTGATGTCCTCGGTCACATCCTGGTGTGTGATAGTTACAGTGAGACTGTTCACCTCCTTGATCAGGACGGTCAGTTCTTGTCTCTATTACTCACACAGCAACAAGGGGTAGAGTATCCCCGTAGTGTGTGTGTGGATGACGAGAACAATCTCTATATAGGACAACTACTCACCACCACACTTGCAGTGTACAAGTATCTACAGTGATTCTTATTTTGTTAGAAATATATATACTGGATACATAAATTACTGTTACAGTAGTATTTAAAGTCATATATACAGCTTATTTTTGATAAGTTCAGATTTACTAAAATTAAAAAGATGTTTCTATTTTTTTATTACTTTTATAAAAAGATGGGACTTTCCTGTAAATTACATGTGTATGCAACTTAAATCAAGTGCATTTCATAGATATCCGAGATTGAATACAAAAACCGATGTTTTTTTTTCGACTCGAAATTAAATATTAGACATCGTGTACAGTCACTTTGATTATATAGGAACGTGTGGATAAAGTTTCAAATCGGTGAAAATTGAATTTGAACGTAATCTAGCGAATATCATGTACATCGCAACTTAATCTCGTATTTTTATGTTTTAGCTCAGACACGTCATAAACATGTAAGAGGAAAGTTAACATATAAATTTAAACGTTTCACAAAGACAAAAGCATCTTTACAACACACAAATGTAACACAAGACCAGGGACCTAAATACTAAGTATATAGGTCCCTGACAAGACTCATCAGTAAAAAAAAAAAAACAAGAGGCCCATGGGCCACATCGCTCACCTGAGTAACTGGGTCATGCAGATCTTTACCAGATTCCCCCTCTTGCTATACCTATCATGCCCAACAACCCCCTTCCCTTTTTTATTTTAAAACTTTAGAATCTAAACAACCCATTAGGATGCTTCCACATAAGTTTCAGCTTTCCTGGCCCAGTGGTTCTTGAGAAGAAGATTTTTAAAGATTTGTTCTATATATTTCTATGTAAAACTTGGATTCCCTATTGTGGCCCCGCCCTACCCCCGGGGATCATGATTTTAACAATTTAATATCTACACTACCCAAGGATGTTTCCACATAAGTTTCAGCTTTCCTGGCCCAGTGGTTTTTGAGAAGAAGATTTTTAAAGATTTGTTCTATATATTTCTACGTAAAACTTGGATTCCCTATTGTGGCCCCGCCCTATCCCCGGGGGTCATGATTTTTACAATTAAATATCTACACTACCCAAGGATGCTAGCTTCCACATAAGTTTCAGCTTTCCTGGTCCAGTGGTTCTTGAGAAGAAGATTTTTAAAGATTTGTTCTATATATTTCTACGTAAAACTTGGATTCCCTATTGTGGCCCCGCCCTACCCCCCGGGGGTCATGCTTTTAACAATTTAATATCTACACTACCCAAGGATGCTTCCACATAAGTTTCAGCTTTCCTGGCTCAGTGGTTCTTGAGAAGAAGATTTTTAAAGATTTGTTCTATATATTTCTACGTAAAACTTGGATTCCCTATTGTGGCCCCGCCCTACCCCCGGGGGTCATGGTTTTAACAAGTTAATATCTACACTACCAAAGGATTTTTTAAATATAAGTTTCAGCTTTCCTGGCCCAGTGGTTCTTGAGAAGAAGATTTTTTAGTGACCCCACCCTATTTTTGTCTTTTCCTGATTATCTCCCCTTGTAAGGGGACTTGGCCCTTTATTTTAACAATTTAAACTCCCCTTCACCCAAGGATGCTTTGTACCAAGTTTGGTTAAAATTGGACCATTGGTTCTTGAGAAGAAGTCAAAAATGTGAAAAGTTTAACACACAAATGGACGGACACACGGACAAAATGTGATCAGAAAAGCTCACTTGAGCCTTCTGCTCAGGTTAGCTAAAAACTAAAATACTGAAGATTTTTCACCCCAAGATCGTTTTTACCCCTAATACGCCGTCCTGACGTGAACAAGGCGCCTCTGCCATTACTGTTACCACAGGCGCCTGAAGTATGGATCAGTACCCTCTCCCCCCTTTATTTATACCGTTTAAGGCTATTCTGTAAACGTGAGAAAAAGTACAATCTCAGTGGCGGATTTAAGGCCATTGTCAAAGTTAACGTAAATCACAGTCTCGTTTACAAAATGTTAATATGTATACTTGGTAGACCTCATTTTTACCCTACAAAATCTCTAGAATCCAGGAGCTTCCGGGGGTTTCGCCCCCTGGGCCCCCACCTTAAGGCGGCCCCCAGACCCCTTGCCTACTTTTGGCGCCCCCTCTAACTTCAAATCCTGGATCCGCGCCTGAATCTGCTTGCATATAACAAATATGGATGTGTCTGACGGGGAAATTTTATATTCTGGAGATTTAATACACTCTTACATTTTTTTTAATTTGAAAAAGGGGGAGGTATTGATCCACACTTCAGGTGCACTTAAGCTCGGGTTTGAAAGGCACGGAAAAAACATCGGGCTCGTTCTACAGTGTGTTTTTTCTTCAAGATTCAAGAGAGTTAGTAGGGAGAGGCCTAGGATTACTCATGAAAAACATATTTAATATTTTATCAGTGTTACGGATTTAGCCACATGTTCTTCTATTCGGCAATATGTTTGTGGTTATGTGTTTTCATACATTTGGTAAGTTTTATGAGTTTGTTTACAATGTAGCCCCTACACAGGTAAAGATTACAGGTGTGTCGCGACCCGGGGAGACGATGTGTTGTGACAATGCTTGATACATATAATGTGTTATCCAGGCTGTAAAAGTCAATTCACCTGATAAGGCTGATAACTATAGGTATATACTTATCTTTTTTAAATGATAATAAAAACGTGCAATACCCAGGTCTAAATTTTCTAGCTCTTATTAGGCTCTCTATTAGTATTATTAGATTAGAATTTAATGATATTTTTGTCTAGATCATGTAAATCACATCCCTTACATAACATTTAACTTATGTACAATCACAATTATTTACATTCAATTGAACTTAACAGGGATTTTTTTACCCTTTGATTCCAGGGGCCAGGGCCGTCTTAATTGGGAAAAATAGCAATATTTGGTTGAAATTGGGATAAATATCTTCATAAAATAAAAAGGAAATAATAAGCAAAAGTCAACGGTTTCATATTTTTTTCTTATCTTTTATTGTATGAAACTGGCTTCAATCAGCTTTACTGATATGAAATAATAGCGGCTGTTGAAGTTTTGAAGCTTAAAAAAAATGGCAAAGCCGCCAAGTATGATAAAATTGTAAATCAACATATTTATACGTTTTCATCTTTTTTACCTTTATTTAATAAGTTCGTGAAAAATGAAATTTGATATTAGGTTTGTTCCTGATGAGTGATTAATCCGTACTGATTGACCAGTTTATAAGAATAAGAGTCAAGAGCGATTCAACCCAGCCTGAAAACTACCGTCTGAGGCAAAGTGGAGAGACTGCCATAGTGCACATTAATTTATTAAATAACTATCCCGACTTTAATTTTTTAACATCGATCCCGCTTTAAAAACATTCGTAGTATTCCAAATAACTTCTCTGATGGCTTGTACATCGCACATGTTATTTATCGTTTACGGAAATGGCCGAGTATTTGCGATTGCATCGCACATAGGGAATGTAACACCTGTTTTTCATTGTTTTATTTTAATAATTTACAACTTAACACTTTTTTTTTTCATTTGGGGAATTTTTAGATGTAATTTTGGGAAAAACATGCACTTTTCAGCATTGGGAATGGGGCCGAATTTCGGCCCCAGAGAGACCCTAAAAAAATCCCTGCTTAGAATTTCCCTTCACGATCTCAATCCAGGGCTTGAAATGTCATTTATTTTTTCTTTCTAAAACCTGGGAGAGAATTACCAGAGTATCAGAGTCAAAATTGAATGGTGTTGATTTAAATACAAATCCTACATTTTTTCTCATTATCTTATTATCTATAGATCAAGTTTGTTTTATGTGGATCCGACTTATAAACTTCTTTTGACAATTGAGTGGTTCAGTTGCATTTGACTTGGGATTCAATGGGGTGGGATGGGGGTTCTGGGTTTGAATCCTGGTGTACTGTAAGTACCCTACAAGTGAGTCATTAGGGATAAAAACCTTCAATGTGGAAGGAGAAGAGGAGGCAGTCATGCAGGTTCTATTGCGGGGGGGGGGGGGGGGGGTATAACTATAGGTAGTTAGGTAGTAGTTAGCACCTATAGGTACAGGTAGTTAGGACCTCATCAATGAAGTCAAGGGGTCATTGATTCAAATCCTGGTTTGGTTTCATGCATCTTTCTCTTTGCCATAAATTTAGATGTATATGCATGTATATAACTAGAATAATAAAAGATTAGAATTTGTAAACATAAAATATAAAAACTGTAAGATTGTAGAAAAATGTCACAGAGTTCTTAATTTAATCACTTTATGCTGCATTGCATCTTTGTCTTACTTTGAACCCATGTTTCTCTGTGACAGTGTGCCTTTTTTTGGTCAAAATTTTAAATGTAATCTGTGAAATTTGTGCAATTCTAAATTTCTGTTGTGTTCAAGATAAGACCTATTTTGCAAAATTCTGATATGCTTTATCATGTTTATATTTTATCACGTATATAGCTATTTTAACATGCAGATAAATTTTCAATTTTGATAGAACCTGAGCATGTGCAATGTGGAGACAGTAGACTGTATAATCATGGCTTAATATGTAAACTAAATATGAGTCGTTATGAGATTCTTGTACATGTAACTACATTGTATTGGGATCTGGAAGAAAAATATATCTGATCTGTAACATTACATATGTATGTTGGATATCTTAAGTGAAGTCTTTATTATATGAAGTGAACTAGTATTTAACATAAAGTTTATCATGGATTGTATACCTTTTACATTTGATTATCAACAACATTGCTCTCTGAATAGTGCAACAAAACTAATCCAAATATAACAGAGCTTTATGAGGTTGTTTGAAGTTTCTGTGATGTAGCATAAAGATTGTATTATCTAATAGATATGTACAAAATGACAATTAATTTCCATGTGATTACAGTGTGTATTTTTCCCTTCTTATTACTCATTAAGGGCCCCCTATCTTCGTTATCCAATGAATCGTGACTGAGGTCCAATACACAAGTATGAGTCACGTTATACAGCCCTGTAACAGACTGACGGTGATACAAGTACACCCATCAACCTACCACACATAGACTAATAGAGTATGCATATAATTAGCCTGGTCTGGTGTAATCAAAGATAAAACTCAAACTGATATGATAATCTTCCGAAAAAAAAGGAAAAGAAGGGAGGGCAACAGGGCAGTTGGAGCATGCATTTTTTTTTTAAGATTAACTCTTAGTTAGATTGCTGTTACTTATCTTACTTATTTGAATATTTGAGGTATCAGAATTGTTAAGAACAGAAAAGGGTAGGTAGTAATGACATGGTCAACATGGTCAACAGTTACTTTTTTTTCCTACATTGCTACAAAGTAGTAATGATCAAATAAAACTAAAAACATGGTTTTATTATGTGCTATCAAGAAGATATAGAAAATGACAATATATATGAACATAATGAATATGATGTTTATTTATTATCTATCATGTCTATAAAACAAAAAAAATTATCTTCTGAAACACGTGAAAGCCCAGGATATTCATATTGTCTGCTTAACATTGATAATTCTATTGATGACAGAAGATAAACCAATCATCTGATCATGAAATATACAGATCTATACAGTGTCACTGTCAGGCCCAGGGGTGTGTGTAATACATGTCCCATCCCCCCGGGGGATAAGGTCAGATCTAGACCACCAGTCGTATCAGGAAGCTTAACAATAAACTTCCTGTAATTTATAATTAAATGAAAAAAATAAAAAAGGCATAAAAACAACTGATTTTTATAAGCATTTGTACTTTAACTGTTTAAATAAATGAACACTGTCTAAGAACTAAATAGAAAAAAGAAATTAAGGCCAAAGTGATTGATTACGACCTGCGTCACAAATCGGTAATCTGTCACAAAAAATGTTCAAGTGTAATGTCATGAATTTGGATTAATAGCTATACTTTATGTAGTTATGATTAATATCTGTTTAAAAACATTGTGTTAATTAAATGTTTATTGCTTAAGCAGGTGTTAATTGTATTAATTAGTCACTGTTCAACTTGATACATTAATGAAAATGATTTTCCCACTTATTCTCCAACCCATTTTTAGCTCTACTGGTCAGAGTCCAGAAGAGCCTATGCGATAGTAATGTGTCCGGCATCCATCTGTCCATCTGTCTGTCTGTAAACAATTTTTCAAAATGCTACTTCTCCTACAGTTGTTGTCTGATTTCAATATTACTTGGCACACAAGTAAACTACACTAAGAAACAAAATTATGTGTATTGGTTTTTGATTTCAATGAATGGTGTTGCCGTACATGTATTTACTACAAATAGAAATTTCTGTAAAATACTCTCACCCCACCTACAGTTTTAGACTGATCTAAATATAACTTGGCACAGAAGTAGACTAAGTCAAGATACATAATTCTGTTTATCAGTTTTTGATTTCGATGAATGATGTTGCCATGGTTACTAAAAGTAGAAATTTCTGTGAAATACTTTTAAAAGTGTTATTTTTCTCTTCCTTTGTTATAAATACAAACCAGCAGAGCTACAGTCTCGACAGAGACTTCTGGTTTTACCCTGAGTCGGGAGAGGGTAAACAAACATTGTACATGTATGAAATACATAAAAATATGGCTGTATGTACATGATGTATAGACCTATAGATACCAATTTATGCCCGTGAATTAAGTATATTCTCTATTTTGATAAAGGCCCAGTCCCAGGAGAATGTCTCCATTGACTCCTCAGAAAATGAGCTGACAGTGAACGTCACAGGTGCTGACAGCAGCAAACAGTATCGACTCGGTTACGCCACCGGTACCGAGAACCTGACATGGATAGACCTGGTCGGAGGGGATGCTTTCACTTATCTACACTACACAATTATAGGCTTAAGTCCAGGGGCCACCTATCTAGTCAAGGTGGAGAAATCCGGTACTGAAATTTACAGTCAACCAGCTACCACAAGTAAGTGAAAGTGATGACCAAAAGACAAGATTTATATTTAATGTGTTTTAGATTTATAGTTTAATTTCGTACATTCAACATGTTCAAATCTCTTAAGTTATCTATTTCATGTATTGCTTGTTTTATAGTTTCGTATATAAATCCACCTCCAATGTCTAAAACGGTACACATAAAGTACATGTAACTCTCTGAATTGGGAAAATTATTTCTTGCATTTACTTTTCAACTCTTTGCTTGTATAAATTTTACGTATTTCTTGAATATAGGATTTTTTCACCGTTAATTTTTTTTTTTGGACAGTAACTGTGGCAACTAAAATTGATGAATTTCTTTTTAGATCCTCTCCCACCAGTCATTGTCAAGGTCAAAGAAGCAGGGACAGATTACCTGACCATCACCTGGGAAACGGACACAAAAAGTATTCAAGATGGAGGCCAGGTGTTTCTTTCTTCCAATGAATCTCAGGTTCAACAGTTCACAGCAATGTCTGGAAAACAGGTCAACGCCACTAACCTACGACCCGGGGTTCAATACTCGATCATCGTAGTAACGGTCAGCAATGGAAAAACAAGTAAAGAATCAGGGGCAAAGATTGACAACACAGGTACTGATTTTTGAAGGGGGCATGTTTTTATTGCTGACATCAACTGAAAATCAAACTTTTTCAGTTGATGCATTTCGGGGTATTTGAATGTCTTTTCCAAAAAAAAGGTCACTTTTGACCTGCTTTTGGAATCTCAAGGCCATACCTGACTAATTATTTAGGATAGTAATAAGGGGCTTAGAATTGTCAAACTTTGTTTATTCATGCTTCTTAGGTTCTCAGAGTGTTTTACTCAAAATTTAGGTCATTATGACCTATTTTATGAATTACAATGTATAACTTAAAGGTGTTTATCCTAATATACATGACTTAGAGGCTTCAAAGAGAGAGAGAGAAGTGATAGGTTGTACAATTTATCAGAAAAGGGAGTCCAATGCCCTTGGACGTCTTGTTTATGTATTCCTCTATCAGTGACTTGTTTGTTAATACTAGCAGTAATTTTACAGTACCTCTGCCCCCCACCCTGACCTCCGTACAGGCTGTGGATACTAAGACCTTGATGGTGGTGTGGAAGACAGAAGGGGGTCATGTAAGTCAATTATACATTTGTAATTTTGTACAAATATAATGATACAAACAATTCACTGTATATTTACAAGTCAATTGATTGATCATCAGAATTAAATATATTACAGATAGGATTGTAAAGATTAATTAGGGCCCCGCAAGGAGTTGCGGGTGCCCTATAGTAATCACTCTGTCTGTCCGTCCGTCTGTCTGTCTGTCTGTCTGTCTGTCTGTCCGTCTGTCACTCTTCCGTCCACAAATTTTCTGTTTTTTTCTAATAACTTTTTTTATGGTTGCCCAATCAAGTTTAAATTTGGTATGGTAGTTTAATAGGCAGAAAGACATATTTTGATGCTAAGTTTGATTCTGTATGTCTTTTAGTTTGGAGCTGGGGTGGTGGGGTAGATTCCTAAACTCTGCATAAGAATGAACGGGCAACTTTTTTTATGGTTGCCCAATTAAGATCAAATTTGGTACAGTAGTTCAGTAGGCAAAAATACATATTTTAATGCTAAGTTTGGTTCTCTATGTCCCTTGGTTTGGAGCTGGGGTGGTGGGGTAGATTCCTTAACTTTATATAAGAATGCATTGGCAAAGAGAGATAACTGCTGAAGATGTTCCCATTCAGTAAACTGAATGCTACTAGGAGTCCCATGAGATTAATTAGCTTTCCTCCTGAAGAAAATCCAGAGCATTATCTTTATCTGTCACTTTGAGATTAATTACCACCTCTGTCTGCAAATGAAGTTTGTTTTGAAGTTAAATCAATTTGGAATGCTATGAAATACTCTGAAATGTGGATTTAAATATAAATTTTTATTATTTATTTTTGTTTGATAGTTATGATTTCATTGAATCCTAAAAAAAGAAATAGATTAAAGAAGATTTTTTGATTTACCAGGGTACTTTTTTTCTCACTTTTTTTCCTTTTTAAAAAAAAAAAATATATTAATTCAAGAATGTTTTTAATTTTCAATGTAGTTGTATAAAAACCCCATTCTATCATTAATACTGAAAAAGTTCTTATTGTAACTTTAGAAGAAAATGATGAGAGAGGTACAATTAATCCCTTGGGATTAATTATCTAGCCTGCTGCAGAAAATTTAGTAGGCTTCTCTTTATCTGTCACTTTAAGATTAATGAAAACCTTTGTCTGCAACTGCTGTTTGTTTGAAGTTAAGGTCAAGCCTTCATCATATTTGCATTCATTGAAGGCTGGTATTTAATATAACACAAGATTCATAATTGTTTAAATATAAATTCAATGTTAAGTTGTTCTTTACTGCCTAATGTAAATACAAGAATATTATTTTCAGATTTTTGAATATTCAGGAATTATGTTGAAATTTTAAGAATACAGTTGCTGTTGCTTTTTCTTTGTACATTTATTAATCATTCTGTAAGCTGCACCCTTTTAATTCTACCCCATGGCGGGGCCCTTGCTGACTGGTCAGTTTTCTAGTTACTATAAGGACTGTTGTTATTACATGTATCATTATTTCATTACAGGACGACATTTTCCTGACGGCCACTTACAATGACACTAACAATGCTCAGCAGACAGAGAAGCTCACCTGTAGAATGTTGATACACCTGTGTCTGGTGGACGTCCCGGGGATTCCTGGTCAGAAGTTACTGATCCAGGCTTACACCACTAAAGGACTGAGACAGAGTGTCCCTCACAGCACACTACACTCCACAAGTAAGTTACTGATCCAGACCTACACCACTAAAGGACTGAGACAGAGTGTCCCTCACAGTACACTACACTCCACAAGTAAGTTACTGATCCAGACCTACACCACTAAAGGACTGAGACAGAGTGTCCCTCACAGCACACTACACTCCACAAGTAAGATTTAGTTTTTTGGCGGGGATGGGGGTGGGTAGGTATTTTGTGTATTTATGACTGCATCTAATGTAGTCTTGCAATTTTAATTTGCCATTGATAAAGTTGGTAAGATAGTGGTAACTGGAAAGTAAATGTCAGAATAGAAAAAAAATGATGCAGCCAGAACCTGAATTTTATTGCCTTTTATCACTGTTTTTTAACAACACACTATGTTTTGTTGTAAACTGTATTTATCACTGTTTTCTACTCTATGTTATAACTAATTTCAGAGCCTCAGACAGTCCTGGGTTTGTTGGACAACTCCAGCTCCACCTCTCATCTTCATCTCACGATCCTCCCCCCGACTTACTCTTACTTTAACCTATACAATATAGAGGTGTTGAAGGAGAATGGATCGGAGCTGCTGTTTGATCAGAACATCTCGCTGAGTCACGATGAGACAGACATATTCCTGTGGAACCTTACGGCTGGCACCTTGTATAACTTCTCTGTCACCACTCGAACAATCTGGGAAGAAAGTGACATATACTCCACAGAATTTGTTACATGTAAGCTGTTATAATTTCTTATTGATGATATTTTTCACAGTTTTAATTGTTTACAGTTTTTTTTACACTGAGCTGCACTCTTGCACTAGATGATACATGTCAATCTTAATTGATTTATTTCCATTGATTTCAGACCCTAACAGTCCAGAACAGTTGCAGATAAAAGAGGTCACCAACTCCAGTGTGACCTTGACCTGGATGCCAGTGACCTCTGGTGGCCTGGATTATTATCAGTGTAGTATATCTCCCAGGGAAACCAACACACAGTCTCCAGTGTATGTTATCTCACACAGTTCAAATGCTAAATAAATTAATTGTATAGAATAGGACTGATACATATATTTAAGCAACAGTCCTCAAATTGACTTATTTTGTGTGGCAAATCTATACTTTTAAAATTGCAAATTGGATTTTAATGATCCAGACTTTGATATGCATATGAGCACATGCACCTCTGTATATACTTTTCATGCCCCACTATGAATATGGCCGGGGCATAATAGTGTTTGTCACATCCGTTTTTTATCGTTCTGTCTGCCCTTCTGTCACAGTTTGCATGTAGAGTATTATATCTTTTCAGAGAACAAGATAACCTTCAGATCAGACAAGTGACCTTCAGTAACCTTGTCCCTGGTAAGAATTACACAGTAGCTGTCAGAGCTGCCAAACAGAAAAAGCTGAGTCCCCAGATCACAGCAGAGCTACTCACAGGTACGGCAAAATCTCACCCAAAACATACAAATAACTATTTAACGATCATGCAGTAAAGTAATCAAAAATCTTGGATGCCATAGAAAACCAAAACTAATATTTACTTTAAAATAAGGGTACTTGTAAGAAGTTTCTTTGTATAATACAAAGGTTTAACTTGGAAAAATTAATAATCTTTAATTTTTAAACTTTTAACACAAATAAATTAAAGCATTTGGTAGGATTTTATGAATTTAATACTTCATAGTAGATCAATGAATATAATTTTATGTATCCATATAAAAACATGGCTGTATACAGGATTTTGACTGGTTTTGCAACCCTAATGAATTTCTTTTTTTTTCCCACACACATAGTTCCAAATCCACCAGAGATGGTGAACATAACTCCCATCAGTGGCAGAGAACTGGATGTTGATTGGTCACCACCATCCAATGGAATTGTGGATTACTATACTCTGTACTTGACAGCAGACCACACCCACCCAATCAATGTTACAGAGAAAGTGTACATAAGCTACCACAGGTTTACCTCCCTTCACCCCGGGGAGACCTACACAGTCCATATCAGGTCACACGTAGCCAACATGATGAGTTCAGAGGTCACCCAGTCAGCCATGACAAGTAAGTCGTGTCTGATTGGTCACATGATTAGGTTCAGAGGTCATCCAGTCAGCCATGATAGCATGATAGGAAGTGTCTGATAAAAGTCATATGATTAGGTTCAGAGGTCAATCGTGTAGAAATTCTTTCAAATCAAGGTCAAGTAGAACTTTAGATTGTACCAAGGAGGAAATGAGGGAATGGGACTATATAGGTATACTTACATCTAAATATTTATTATACAGAGCTTCAGTAAACTATTTGTTTTTTTTCAGACCCCAGCTCTGTGGCTGAGCTGTATGTGGACCATGTAGGAACCAACACAGTTAATATTTCCTGGCCCCGACCTAATGGCAGTACATTTGACACCTTCCAGATTGCTATAGACCCGCCTCACGCACAGTCCCCCATCTCCATCCCAGAGTGAGTATGCAGACTTCTAGATCCATAGGTTATTTCAATGAGTGTATTTTCTCTGTATTCAATGATAACTCTGGATTTTGATGTATTAAAAAACATAGAAATGATAATGATTATTGTTTGCAGATCGAGTGACATTTTACAGTACACCTTCTCTAACCTGACCCCTGGTCAGCTGTACAAGATCTCCATCACCACGGTCAACAAGGGAACTCAGAGTGACCAGGCCAGTGTCCATGTCATCACAGGTAAGATAATATCTGATTATTTGAAGCAAAGTTAAAATCTAAATTTTACATGTGACTTCATGGCAATGCCTTGTACTTCTAATATATTCCGCCTCTCCTTATATTTTTAGAGCCATTGCCTGTGGAAGATTTGAATGTGACCTCTGGTGACCCCCACTCTATCAATGTGGAGTGGAGAACAGTGGACCCCAAACAACAACACCACTTCAATGTAAGTCAAAAATTGTCTGACTGTATGGTTTGTAAGAGAAAAGTTATGTGAAAACTCTTACTCAATATAAAAATGTTTTCTTTAGCTCTATGCTGAACTAATATAATTTACACATTCTGCATAAAGATAATGGATGCATTTGAAAGAGTTGTCTGACTTTCTAATGCTGATATAATTTTTGTACCTTTAGCTTCAGTACCATGACTGGTTAGACAGTGGTAATACATCTTTGCCCATGGTTCTGGCCCTCCATGACAAGTTTGAGTACGAGACACACATCCTAAATCTGAGGCCAGGCCACCATTACTCTGTATACGTCCAGGCTAAACAGGTGGTGGATGCAGGGAACGGCTCCCTTGTAGCCTACAGCTCCTGGCAGAGTGTCAACAAAACCACAAGTAAGGGGGAGGCACAAAATGTTAGCGTAGTGTTCATACAGCAAAACTCTGTTATAACGAAGGTGCTGCTACCTATGAAATTACTTTGCTATTTCCATAGATGAAATTCATGAAATCTGTATAGCTGCATGGTGATCCAAGATGACTTCGCTATATCTGTAAATTTGCAATATACTAAACGAGTTTTACTGTAATTGGATAGGAAATTTTAAAAAAGGGGAAAAATGTATTTAAGTGATTGTTTAATTTGTGTGGTATTGTAGAACCCAACAAGGTCATGGATTTGACCTACACTTCGTCCCACAATGACATCACCCTGACATGGTTGCCAGGCAACGACAGTATACAGGACAGTTACTTTGTCTGGTACCGTGCCCGTCTCCATGGCGACTACAGTCAGTGGAAAAAAAACATCAGTGACAATACACATATTGTCCTCTCTTCTTTGTTCCCTGGACTTCTGTACGAGATGGTGGTCTTTGCTGTCAGCCATTCTGAGATGAGTCCACCCTCAGTTGTGTCTGCACTAATGCGTAAGTATTTATAAATATTTATTTATCATAATTGAATGATCAGGAATTTTAATGCTCGCTGATTAGTCTATATGGACCTGGTTGGGCATTTGACAACCTCAACCTTAATCTCGGGGAACCAATACTTGACTAAGTGCAAATGGTGAAGAGTAGACTTTATCAAAAATAATTGTATATAGTTGTATATAGTGTATATTAAAGTAGAAATCAAATGGTTTTCATACTAGGTATTTTTGTAAACAGTGGTCAATTCTCAAAAATTAATAATTGTACACCATATATCACTTACAGTAAAAATCCTGTAAATGTACCATTTTCTGTGGTTTTTCTAATTCTCAATCTCTAAAACTGGTAAATTGAATTCACTTGTACATATTGTACCACTTTCTATGGTTTTTTTCTAATTCTGTAAACAGTGGTAAATTCACAATTTCTGTTTAATCCATCTGTAGAAATTTCTGCTGATACTGGAATCACCATTACATATCTCTATAAATGTACTTTTAGAATGTGTGACCGAATTAAACAATAATCATAATGTAATGTAATACAAACCTGATTTCAGCCCCCCTGCCTCCTAGCAGTGTAGAAATTACATCCATCACCAATAGCAGCCTCTCTCTGAGGTGGACGTATAACAGTAACACGACCTACATAGAGAGCTGGAACCTGACCTACACCAGTCTGACAGATGGCATGTCTAACACAGTTAATGTCCAGGCCAACTCCTCAGACAGCACAGTCAGATACAATATCACTGGACTTACTTCTGGACACACTTATAATATCACCATCTACAGTATTGTGCAAAAGTCTGTCTCCAAGTCTGTGAATTTGAATGTTTCTGTCCGTAAGTATTTAAAAAATAATAATTTTACCATCCTACGTTTCATTCAATTTATTCTTTTAACATTTGTCTGTTTTTGAAAGTCATTGATATTTGAATAAGCATTATACTAAATGAAAACCTAATAACTATACTTAGTATAAGTTACTACAGTATAATTTTAAAATACTATTTCAGAGCCAGAAATAAAGACAGTTTTGTCGGAGGGAAATGTTGGGAGTAAAAACATCACAGTCTTGTACACTGACACTGACAACTACTTTGAGTATTATCTGTTTGAGCTGGTGGCCACATCAACAATAGTGAAGAAGAACAAGACAGACCCCGATCGCAGCGTGGTGTTCTCAGGTCTCGAGGGAGGAACCCAGTACAGTATCAAAGTGACTGCTGTCAGTGGGGACCAGTCCAGTTCTCCCACATCTATACAGATACGTACAGGTAACTCTTCTGCAGTGTCCATTTAATTTAACATGAAAAGGAACTGGACTGAAGAATATATTTCCTGACATTTTTTATTTTTTTGCCCCATTTTTTAGTGCCAGAGCTACCCTACGTTGGTAGGGAGAAGACAGCCAATTATATAAAGCTGACCATCCATAGACCAAGTGGTAATGTGGATTCTTACCGGGTCACCTGTTCACAAAGCTGTGGTTCAGAAACAAGGCCAGCAAACCAGACAACAGTTGTGATAGAGTTCGGTCCCTTGAATCCGTACACAGACTATCAGTTTGAGATTGAGGCCATTGCTGGGGACAAACACAGCTCCCTCTTTATCTCCTCCAGGACAGAAGAAACAGGTAAGCCAATCAGATTACAGATTTCAGTGTTGAACTTCAATCTTTAATTCTATTGGTTGAATGTCGAGCTGAAATGGATATGATTGGTCAAGAACTTGACAATTGAAATCTTTTTTGATGTCTTTTGATTTTAAGTACATTTTAATGAAATTTTATTTTCTGATGCTTTGAAAATTGGAAATTCATTCTATGTGTTTATTTTAGCTCCCTCTGCTGTGCAGAACTTGAATGTGGTTGAGATTTCACCCAGGACTGTAAATGTGAGCTGGTCACCCCCTAGAAATCCCAATGGAATCATCCGCTCCTATCGCATAACATATACTGCTGTGGATGAATTTGTGAGTGACTATGTCCTACAAAGTTTGTTTGACTGATTTAATACATAATTTTTAATATTAATTAAGATTGTACAGAGAGGGCAATGCTATGACTTGTGATTGTTTTAGGGGCACATTATGGACCAAGGAGAAAAGGACATAGGAGTGACCACAGAATTAATGGCAGCTCAGCTTATCAGGGAGAAATTCACAGACCTTAAAGCTGGACTCAAATACACATTCAAAGTAAGTGCTGTGATGATAATTTTAGGGGCTCGGTTTTGAATTAAAATGACTGCATGTAAAATATTTGCCTTAAACTGATTGAAGTTTATTTTTTAAATCATACATATATACACTTATGTTAATGCAGGTGTCAGCCAGAACTGTCATAGAAAACATTCCAGAGAAGTTTGAGATTGTTCTACGCACCTACAGTAAGTCAACTTGTCTGTGAGATTTTGAATAGAAATATGGATACATGAACATGAATTTCAAAGTCACACATGCCAACTATATTATAATTGATCAATTTATACTTGATTTAAAATTGTAGAATCGAGAAAAAAAATACTTATATCAATGCAATTTTTAGATCCACCTATCAAAGACAGTCTGACCTTGAGTCAAACTAAACCAAAGCAGCTGACCTCTGGAGGTCAAACTGTGACCCCCTCCACCATTACTGCCAACTTTACCAATGCCTTCTCTGATAAGTACGGCAGTATACAGGCCTACACAGTCATTATAGCCACAGACCCTGACGAGGAGCACATCAAAACCAGCACCCTGCCGGACTGGAAAGCTGCCCAGATCAACCCTAACATCAAGGCCTACCAGACCATCCGGAACTGCTCGGACTTCTTCCAGCTGACCTCTTCCTGTGGTCGAGCTCGGTCCAAGCGGAGCGTGGGGGATAAGAATTTTAAAGTGTTTGAGATTGGTGTGGAGGCTGATTGTAATAATGTGCTGTACTGTAATGGTCCACTCAAACAGAACACTAAGTACTACGTCAGACTGCGGGCCTATACAGCGGGGGGATACGCTGACACTGCTTATTCAGATCCTATCATCACAGGTATATTATTTTAGATGGTCCTGTAGCACCATCAGTCTACATTAAAGATTGTCCATAAAAATCACTTAGTCAAACCAAAAAGTTTCCAGATGTAAATTTATTTTATTTAAAGGAAAATTTTCTTTATAATCATGTTTGAAATTTTATATGATTTGAGTAACCATATCAGAAACATCAAGTGTATAAACTACATGTATTACATTGTCTTGAGCTTTGTATTAGTTTTTTCTGTATAAACTCCCCGCATCAGATGATGATCACATTGCCTTGAGCTTGTTATTGTTTTTATCCTATTGCTACTCGGTAGGAGAGCAGTCCCTCTTCAGATGATGATGCACAATGAAAAGGTCTCCATTCAAGAAAATCGTTTTTTTCTTCTATTTCTGTTTGATTTGGATATTTTATTCTTTGGAATAAACATAATCTTATTTAATATACATGTTTGTTTATTGTTTTATATAATTTGAATCTTCTTTTAAATAAATGTCGGTTACAGAAATGAAATTCAATGAAACAGTTTCAATTTATTCACTTTTTTATTTCAATCATGAGTTAAAGGACAAGCTTGCTATAATCACTTTAATTTATAAAAATACGACACATTTGAAAAGGTCTGTGATTTTACTGGTTTTTTACTATTTTCTGTTGTAGCTGTTTCATTCAGATATTATATTCTTTGGAATAGACAAGATTTTATTTATACATGTTTGTTTAAATTATGGTTTTATACACAAGAAAAGGTCTCCATTCAAACATATCTGTCTTTACTTCTATTTCTGTTGAATTTAGATATTGTGTTATTTGGAATTAACAAGATCTTATTTATACATGTTTGTTAAATTAGAGTTTTATAAAAATAATTTGAATAACTTGGCATTTAAATAAAAGTAATTTGAAAGAGACAGAAATGAAATTCAATGAAACGGTTTCAATTTATTCAATTTTTTATTCACCGGAGTTTAAGGTGGCATGTTTGTTTTAATCATGGTTCTATAAAAAAGACTCAATACACTAGACATTTACTTTATCATAAAAGTACCTTGATTAAACGTTTGTTTTTCAATTTATTTATTTATTTCTTGTTGTAGTCATGAATTTAAGGTTGTAGACTTCAAGGAATACATAAAGACCTTGTCAGCTGACTCAGATTTTAAATATGCTGAACAATTTGAGGTTTGTACTAAGCAGAGTTGTCTTCCTTTACTGGTTATTGTATGGAGTCACAAATAATTAGAATGTTATTGATTTGACAGGATCTGAAGGAGGTAGGAAGAGACCAGTCCTGTTCTGCAGCCGAGCTCCCAGTGAATCGTGGGAAGAATCGGTTTACCAATATTTTACCGTACGACCATTCCCGTGTCAAACTTCTACCCACAGATGATGAGGAAGGCTCGGACTATATCAACGCTAACTATATGCCGGTAGGTTGCAAGTCTTACATAAGTTATGCATGTGAAGAAAATATATGTTCTTCATTAAAGGTGCCCGGACAGAGATTTGAAGTGAATATTTTCTTAAATTTTTTGTTTAATATCTTGACTGATATGTTGCTGTAAAAGTTCACATTAAAATATGAGAACAAGCTTATTTTATCTGGAAATTATTGAAACTATGAAAATCTGGACATGTTTGATTGATACATCCACAAACTTCCACAAAAAATGTTAACACACATGGTGAACCTTAATAAAAGAAGAAATTTTGTTGTGTGTTAATGAAAAATATAAATTTACACTATAATCAAGAAAATTCCAAGTAGAAATGTAAGAAAGGAAACCAACTCATTGGTATTGTCATGTCCGTGTTCAGAGATGTGTATATTGTCAGTTTACTAAATTGATCACACCCAGTGAAACTCTCCAAGTATACCACTGATCAAAAAATCTGTTATGACTGTTCTTGTAGGGATTCACATCCAAAAAAGGCAGTACATCGTAACTCAGGGGCCATAATATCACCATGGACTTTCTGGAGAATGAAGCAGGGTAGCAATAACGTATGTCTGTAATATTGTCATGTTGACTCACTGTACAGAAAAAGGCAGGGTTAGTAAAATATGTCTGTTATATTGTCATACTGAATTGCTGTACAGAAAAAGAGCAGGGTACTAAGCCTTGTTTGCCTTGAATTGATGAATGGTCTTGACTTTTATTATTCCTGTTCACTCCTTGGGGAGTATAGAAAAAAGGTCATGACAATTTAATGTATTATCTTTTCATGTGACCTGTTTGTTTTGTAGGAGAAATGTGACCACTACTGGCCCACTAATTCAGATGCCATGTTTTATGGAGATTTACAAGTGGCTGTTCTCTCAGAGACTCGCTTCCCCTCCTGGACCATCACAGAAATGAGGGTAGCTTATGTAAGTTCTACAGTCATTCTTTTTTTAATTTTCAATTTTATTTTTTGGCTGCAGCTGTATGAATGATTTTATTGATGTTTTAAAAGGGTAACGTCACTCGACCCATCAGACACTTTCATTTCACTGCTTGGCCAGACTTTGGGGTACCAGAGAAGCCCCCCACCCTGATTAAATTTGTACGCATTGTTAGAGATCAGATGATTAGAGAGTGTGGCCCCGTTCTTGTTCACTGCAGGTGAGTTCACTTTTAATAGTGTCTATGGGGGAACATTTTGAAATTTTAGAACTAAAATAAAGCGTTAGGATTTGTAATTCTGACTTATTTTGTGCTGATTGTGTATGGTTGTGTTTACAGTGCGGGTGTAGGGAGATCTGGCACATTTATCGTGTTGGATCGCCTGCTACAGGAAATCAAGGAGCGTGATACAGTGGACATCTTCTCCATTGTACATGATCTGAGGAAGGAACGGGTCTGGATGGTACAGACAGAGGTAGGTCAGGGACTTGACTCCACACAAGAAATATGTACAGACTTAATGGATCTTGTGGAGCACTTTACACACAAATTTGTTATCTATTCAGATTAAAGATTATTTTGTAAGAATAAAGATTCAATAAAGCTAAAAAAAAAAAATAAAGATTCAATCACATATTTTCGTGGGGGTTTAATTTTCGCTACCATATACCATGAAATGTAACCAAATAAATGTGTTTTCCTCAAACCATGAAAATTTGACCACACGAAAATATGTGATTTTACAGTAAACGTTCTCCCAAGGAAATATGTCCAAACGAACAGTTAAAATTTGCTTGCCCACAAACATTGACCACCCACAAATTAAAATTGTCCCACAGTACATGTATTCTAATTGCTTAAAATTATAAGCATTATATCAACAAATTTATTTCTGTATTAGGCTACAACAGTTTTTTAATTGGGAGCCTTTTCAAAAGAGACTTGCTTTGCTTCTATCAGTATAAACATTTGAGTAATAAAGTTAATGTTAGAAAGAATCTTTTGATGTAGAGAGTTACTGTAAATTTCAAATTTTTTTCGAGTACCTGTTATCAAAAAATGTTTCTTTAGTGTCAAATCCTGAGAATATTTATTTGGTTGTGAATAAATGGTTGATTAAGAGAATTTACATGGATTTTAGCACCATAAAAATTTAAGCGAGTAATTTTATTAATCGAGTGATGCTTCTCGTGAAATTACGTGATAATAAATTCCTGGTATTGAATTAGGAATTTACAGTTTATGCTTGGATAAAATTTCCATTATAATTTTTTCATGTTTTTATCAATTTATAAGTTATTCTAAACTAGTTTTGATTTCCTCTCCAGCAACAGTACGTGTGTATACACCAATGTCTATTGTGTGTGTTAGAGGGGAGAGAAGAGGAACACGTGTATCAGAATGTAGGCATAGCTAACGCAGCTTTTGATGGTAAGAACAAGGTTGATGTAGCAATCTGTCATCAATTTGATTACTTTTCATTTTTTATCAAATTTGAAAAAATTTTATACTATATGTAAATGTGTATGCTTTTATTACTTGTCATTTTAGTCAAATTTTCTGTGTGTAATGTATTGAATGCATTTTATAAAGTAGGCCTTTAGATTTTCTTACCCTTCTAGGTAAAACATGCAAGTAGCTATCCTGAATTTAACTTCAATTAAATGATTTACACCTTTTTTCAGCTGATGATGAAGGCATCAATGTAGAAATCCCCTGAGAGGACCTCACTGCCAAACCATACTAGTGTTTCCCCCTAAAGGGCCCCATGTCTTCTGATATATGTGTCCTCGTTCCTACAAGATATGTTGTTGGAACTGAGTATTTTTCTCTTGACAAGGAATACATTACATTTTTAAACATCATTTTAAATTTAATCATTACAATTAACTCCATTTGGTTTATGAAGATTACAACGAAATTTTGATCAGGGCCCACTAGTACCTGCAGACTTTCCCCCATATTTCTTATTCTGCATAATCCCACCACATTCCATTATAACATTATAAACTGCCAGTACATTTGTTTTTTTCTAATTTTTTTTTCATATTTGATAGATATTCAATGTTTTTTTAATTGTTAATTTGCTTCTATTTTTATTGAGGTAGTGATATTACATGATAAGGTTGTGTGTTTATTCTATCAGAATTGTTGGTGCTGTCAATACTGTGTACATATCCATTCCATATCCATGTATATTGTTTTATTTTTATGATATTTATTATATTTATTGTTTGAACACATTGTTAACTGCATATTTTTAAAAAAAATTACATTGAAAGTTAAAAGCATGAATTTTTGTCACAAATTGAAAATGACCAGAACAAAATTTTTTCTGAATTATTTTCAAAATTATGTGCTCACGAAGTTTTGACATTTTGGACAAAAAAGGCACAATTAATGTATATTTAATTTACATCTGTTTTTTTCAGTATTGTGCCATTACAATTTACATATATTTATTTTTGTAACACTTGAATTTTTGCATTTAACAGTTGTTTATAATTGTGCCTTATGTAGTACTCCTGTATAATTAAGGTCTGTTTACAAGAACAAAAGACATTAGATATTGATATTTGTTAAAACAGGTTGTGTGATATTATATATATATATATTTTTTTTTTACAAAATAATTT